AAAAAGTATTTTATTCTAGTGAACAAATAAATAGCTAAAACATAAAAAATAATTATTTAAACACATTTTATAATTCTGTTTTTTATTTGAATTCAAAACTAATAAAAGTAATAGTATAAAATATTCTGAAATATGTTGAATAAACAGCTTGGTAAATTAAAAATTAAAAACAACTGACAAAGATACTTTACTCACCGTCGTCGACCGATTCACTCGCTGGCCAGAGGCCTGGCCACTCGAGAATATGTCAGCTCACGCAGTCGCACAATCGCTGATCGTGAATTGGATCGCACGATTCGGCGTTCCCGACATCATCACCACCGACCAGGGAAGACAGTTCGAGTCCGACTTGTGCCGTTCTCTCTTTTCGACTTTCGGCATTCAGCACACGAGAACTTCGCCTTATCACGCTCAATCAAATGGTCTGGTCGAACGTTTTCATCGAACGCTTAAGTCCGCGGTCACTGCACACGAATCGACACAGTGGTCAACGAAGCTGCCGATCGTCCTCCTCGCACTAGTGGTGGAGAAAAATCGATGGTGCTATCGATAACTCTATCGATATTCACAACTATCGTTTTCTATCGATAGTTTAAATACTAGAATCGATAGTATTCGATAGTCATATAAATAGTATTATACACGGACTATTTTTTTTTTTTTTTTTTTTATAGTATATCTCAGTCCGTGGTATTATAAATTCACCTTAGGCTTATTCATTCTATAATAACACTATGTAATATCTTCTCTACATTGTGTATACTGTTTAATAATTATACTTAATATGCTATCAAAACTATTCCCCCGATCACGTACCCACGATTAAAGATAAGATCTTATCTTTAATCGTTCCCCTCCCCCAGATTATTACTGATACGTGCTAGAGATATAATGCACTAACATTTCCCGCATAAATTTAAATAATAAATAGCAATATTATAATTAATATTAATTGTAAATAATCATTAGACCCAAAATTTTTCAATTTTAACATGTTACATTAGTAACATCAGTATACTATAGATTTGAATAGTGTGAACATACTTCTATTTTTTTGAACTAGATCAATCTAAAAATAATACAAAACAGTAAATACAGCTAGATCATCAAATTATCTGAAATGGTATAATCTATAATAATATAGTATTGTTAAAATTCTATTGGATTTGCCAGTGATATTTATACAACATTTATATTTCACACAGTACATTTTATTGATGCACAGATGACTTGTAAATTTTGACTGCGTTTTTCGATGATAGTTACAGAGATTTAAATTATTATATTTATTATTCAAAACATTTTTAATTGTTAATTTTTTAATTTGTTTCAAAATGGGCAAAAGAAAAATGTCCAGTGTTTGGTCCTATTATACTAGAAGTGCTGATAAAACGCTAGCTAAATGTAAGGAATGTAAAAAGGAATACAAAACCAGTGGTAATACAAGCAATCTTCAAGACCATCTTAAAAGAATGCACCCGGAGATACAAAATGCTATAGTTGAGCCAAGTGATGACGATCCTGAACGAGTAAGTAGTCATTCCATAGCGAAACATTTTAAAAAACAAAACGTTTATGACAGTGACAGCCACCATAAAAACGAAATTGATAAGGCATTGATGCTAATGGTTTGCAAAGACTTCCAACCATTTTCAATTGTTGAAGATACTGGATTTAAAAATTTTGTAAAAATTCTCGATCCAAGGTATGAATTACCAAGTAGAACCAAATTAAGAGACTCTCTGTTAAGCGAGAACTACAAAATATGTAGAAATAAATTGTTTGCTCTGATTAAAAATGTTTGTCATGTAAGTTTGACATGTGATTTATGGTCTTCCAGAGCAAATGAAAGTTTTTTAACTTTCACCTGTCATTTTGTTGATGAAGACTATAAAATGCGTTGTACAGTTTTGTCCACAAACAAAATGGTAAATAATCACACTAGTGAGAATATTGCCACAGAAATAAATTGTATAATGAAAGACTGGGACATTGTTGATAAAGTTGTAACCATAGTGACAGATAATGCATCTTCAATGATTAAAGCTTGTGAAATTCTAAAAATACGTCACCATCCTTGTTTTGCCCACACGCTAAATTTAGCTGTCCATGATGCATTAAAACTAAAAGAAATTGATTGTGTTATAAAAAAATGTAAAAGTCTGGTGACATATTTTAAAAACAGTAATATAGCAACGAATCAACTAATAACAGAGCAAGAAAATCAAAACAAAAAACCACTCAAAGTTATTCAAGAAGTTCCTACTAGGTGGAACAGTATGTATCATATGATCAAAAGAATACTGGAACTTAAAAATGATATAACAATTGTATTATTAAGATTGCCTAGTGTACCTACAGTATTGACTTTGGAAGACACTTTAGTTCTTCAAGATTTAATTGAAATAATGAGTTGTTTTGATGATGCAACCAAAAAAGTATCAGGTAATTTATAATATTACAGATTGTACTTTTAAAATGTTTTTTTGTTTTAATTTGATAATTTTCTGTTTAGGTGATTATGTTACCATTTCATTGATTATACCTTTGGTGTATGGTATTTATAACCATCTTGTAAATCTACAACCAAGTACTTCGGAAGGAAAGATTATTTTACAAAATATAGTGGAAAGTGTTAAAACAAGGTTATTTCCTTATGAGGAACGCACATTAACCCGTTTAGCCACAGTATTAGATCCGAGACTGAAAAAAGAGGCATTTAGATCTTCTGATAATGCTAAATGTGCAGTTTCTCTACTTCAGAATGAAATGTCTCTGCAAGAATCCTTATTACCACAAAGACCAGAGGAAAATCATGATACTACAGAAGCTTCATCTAATTTAGGTAAATCATTATTTGATTTCCTGAACACAAGAATAGCAGAAAAAAGTGAAAATAGGACAGTAACTGCCAATTCAATAATATATTTAAGAGAATACATGGAACGTCCAAATACAAATAATGATATGGACCCTTTAATATTTTGGAATGTAAGTACCTAAAATCTAAATTCTAACTAACAAATTTTAAATTATAATTTTTATATTTCAGGTTAATAACGATAGTCTTGGGACTCTTGCTACATGTGCTAAAAAAATCTTATGTGCCTGTTGTATGTGCCTTATGTTCCTGCCTCTTCAGTCCCATCTGAAAGAATATTTAGTAAAGCTGGTATAATTGTTTCTGACAGACGGTCCAGAATAAAAGCCAAAAATGTAGATATGTTAATATTTCTTAATCAAAATGATTGGTTATTATAGATAATTGATCATATTTGACAACCAATTTTATATTTTTTTATTATACATTAATTAATACTTACTACTTAGTAGTTACATGACTGCACTTGTTAGTGCTTTATAACGACATTGTGAAAATGTATTACCTAAATAAAACTCTTGTGACCACCCAAAGACCAAAATACGCCACTGTTTGATATTGTGTTTTTATTTATTGCCACAATTAATATTAATTATATTTAGGTACATTAAACATAATTCCCATACTAACATTTTAGAATTGTAAAACGATTGTAAAACTTAGCTATTAAAGAACTTTAATTTATGAAAAATCATAATTAAAAACTAGATTTCATAAATTTGATAAAAAAAAAATATTATCGAAAACTATCGATAACTATCGATAGTCCGACTACAAATAATCGGAAATTATCGATAGTCATGACTATCGATTTTTCTCCACCACTACCTCGCACTGCCACACACAATCAAGGTCGGTTTCGAGCACACTCCAGCCGAGTTGGTCTACGGCGCGACACTTCGACTTCCTGGTGAAATGTTTCACGCCGCGCCCGCCGAACCTAAACCGCCCGAGCTCGTAGCGACGCTCCGGGACTTCATGGCGCAGCTACGTTTCACGCCCGGTACCAACCACAACACACAACGCGCTACGTTCGTACCGAACGATCTAAGCCAGGTCAGTCACGTTTTCGTCCGAATCGACGCCGTCCAGCCGCCGCTCCAGCCACGATACGAGGGACCGTTTGCAGTTTTGGAACGCCGCGAAAAAACATTCAAGGTACAGCGCCACCGATCAACGACGTGGACTTCCATCGACCGACTCAAGCCAGCATTCATCGCCCGGGAAGATCCTACCGCCGACCATTCGTACGCCGCGCAATCGATCGAACACCCCCCCAAAAAAACGAGTCCGTTTTTTTCCCGCCGACAGGGTTGCTACTTTCTCACTATTTTTCACTATTCTCACTTTTTTTGAAGGTGCTCACTTTTTCTCACTATTTCATTGATTTTCCTAAAAAAACTCACTTTTCTCACTTTTTTAAGCTCTTTAAATATAAATAAGTGTTTAAATTAAATATTCGAAAGTTCTATAAATATTTATTATGGAATTACTTACGAATTTTACATTTTCCATAATCTATATAATATGTTTATGTTAAATTGATAATACTAATAAATTAATTGATTAACCATGTTAGATACACAGATTTAGATAATAATTATTATTATCTATATCAGCCTGCTGTGGTTAGATGATTTACTATCAATTAATATATATTATAAATTAGTATCACGGTTTAAGATATATCTTATACCGTGATTAGTGTATTACCCATTATCACAATATACCGTGACCGTAAACGAAAAGCCGCATTTTCGCAGTTATTAGTGTTATCACTTTTATTTAGTTTTAGTATAAAAAATACAATGTTTTAAATACAATTTCGTTTTCGCCGAGCTGGAACCTCATTCTCAAAATCACCAAACTTTAATTTGTAGCAAACATAAGTAAGTAAAATTAAGTATCTCGTTATTTAGTTAGTATTACTAATAGGTTATTTTTAATGTACCTATAGTATAATATTATCAATTTTAGTAAATTTAGTTATAATCTGTAAGAAGTTATAAATAAAACAATTTAAATAATAATTGATTATTTGTATGTAAATATTAAATATAATTAAAGTTAATATAAAGTTATGTCAATGTGTTTTATAGATTTAATTCCTCATTTTAAGATGAGTGAATCAAAGAAGTGCAGTATAAATAAATTATGGTTTGAAAAAATTGATAGTGGTGGTTTCAAAATCGGCGAATGGGCAAGATTATGTGAAAAAACAACAAACATATTGTGTATTGTTTGTGCTTGCACAATCAACTGTGATAACAAAGGTTTTCAGTCTCTGACTCAGCATGCAAGTACAAAAAAACATAAATCCCAATGTATAGATAAATTGGGTATTAAGCAATTACATTTGTGTGGTAGTGTAGCAAAACAAACTAACACTGATGCTATTGAAAATAGTGTCACTGAGAAAAACACTAAAACGTCATTACATACATTGGGCATTAAAATGTATTGTAAAAATGAGCAGGCAATTAAAGCAGAAATTATTTGGACAATAAAAAGTGTAATTTGTAACATGTCTGCTACTTCATGTGATGGTTTAAGTGAAATATTTAAATCTATGTTTCCAGACTCTTTTCCTGATCAGTTCAGTCTTGGGCGTTCTAAGATGTCATACTTAATATCTGATTCTTTAGGACCATATTTTAAATCTATTGTTATAGATGATATTCACAATTCATACTATACAATGTTGTACGACGAGACCACGAATGCGGAAGGGAAAAAAGAACTGCAGGTGGCTATTCGTTATTGGAGTAAGAATAAAAATGAAATAATTGTGGTGCATTTAGAAACTTTTTTCATAACTTCCGTTACTGCAGAAAAAATTATCAAGTATTTAATGATAGCTTTGGATAATGCAGATCTGCCAAAAGAAAAGCTAAGTAGCTAGGGTAGTAGTAGGTAGTAGTATGTTAGGGTCAGATGGCCCGAATGTGAATAAAAAAGTAACACGGATAATAAATAGTAATATAAAGTCACATCGTGGAAAAGGGCTAGTTGAAATTGGGTCTTGTAACATCCAAACTGTGCACAATGCTTTTGTGAAAGGCCTGCAACACATTGGATCGGATATATCAGATATGATAATAAGTATTTATTATTTTTTTAAAGATTGGCCAAAACGTTTAGAAGACTTTACAGACATACAAATAAATCAAAAATTACCCAAACATAGTTTTATTAAACATTGTGAATCGCGTTGGCTTACATTAGGACCAGCAGCTGAGCGACTCATTGAACAATGGGATGGAATCATATATTATTTCGAAAAATGTATTCCACAACATAGGAGTGAACTTATGAAGACTCCTAAATATTTAAGAATTCACAAAGTTTTAAATGAGCCAACTGTAAAAGCTGAAATAATTTTTATAATCAATAGTGCTAAAATATTTCAAAAATTTACTTTAATATTTCAACGTCAAGAGCCTCTTATTCGTGTATTACACTCTGAATTGCGTAACCTCATCATTGTAATTGCTGGGAAAGTTTGTAAGGCGGAAGTATTGAAGACCTGGAACAATAATACTTCTTTATTTGATCATCATGATAATTTAAAATCATTAGATTTAATTGAACTTCCTATTCAAGTATCAACAATTTTATCATTGGTATCAGAAAGATGCAAATTATTATTTTTAAAATCGGTTCAAGCTCATTACATATCGGCAGGAAAACATATATTAAATAAAACTTCATTTCTGCATGCTACTAAAATAAAATATTTTCGTTGTTTAATGCCCACTGAATTGCAAGTTGAAAGAAGTTGCTCAGAAGTAGTTAAGATATCTACATATTTACCTTTTGAAGTTGACCCAGGGGTCCTAGCAGATGAGTGGAGATTGCTTAGATGTGAATCTAAATTGCAAGCTAAAATCTTCAACAATGGATTAGGTGGTGAAATGCGCATAGATCACTACTGGAATCAATTTATACAAATTCAGGATAGTTTTGGTAATGTTAAATATCCAAATATTTGTAAAGTTGTAACTGCTAGCCTAACATTATCACATGGCAGTGCTGATGTTGAACGTCAATTTTCAGTATCTGGTAATGTAATAACAGATGATAAGACAGCCATGTCTTGTCGGATGTTAAATGCTCGGCTAAACATAAAGTCAGGGTTACAGTTTTATCAAAACCGTCCAGACTTGATGCCCATTTCAAAAAAATTGATGGTTAGTGCACAGATGGCTAGACAAAATTACATGACTTATTTAGATAAAAAAAAAAAACTGGAACAGGAAACAAATCAGCTAAGACAACAAAGGGAGAATGAAGAAATTCAAAAACAAAAAGACCTGGCAGAGGTAGAGAAAACAAAAAAAGGTATAGAACATCTAGAAGGGCAGCTTAAGTCTGCAGTAAATGTTCAAATTAATCAAAAGAAAGCATCTGATCAATTATTAAACGATGGGAATAAAAGATTAAAAAAAGCACTTAATAAAAATGATGCTGTTGAAGCAAAAATAGCCCAAAGTATGATCGAAGCAGCAACAAAATTAAGAAATGAAGAGCAAGAAAATGAATCAGAAACAAATCTCATTCAAAAAAAAATTGAAAAAAGAAAAAACTGCCTAATTACTAATTTTATTAAAAAACAAAAGACTGATAAAAATGACTGAGTTTCCTATTAATATTATATAAAAAATGTTTATTAACAAAAAAAGTGATGTTTGTTATTTTAATGTTAGTTGATTAATTTACCAAAAATATAAATCATCATAATTTTAGACTTTAAACTTAAGGATTATTTGGGTAAGGTAACCAAACATGTTTTAATTATATGATATGCTTATTATTTTCTCTTAATTCATTTTAAACCAGTTTTTTAATATATTATAATTATTATATTTGTTGGTTAAGTTATATTTATTTACCTCATACTGTTATAACTGTTATATTATTTATATTATAAATATATTGTTTTTATAAGACTATAATTATGTTATAACTTGTAACTTTATGTAGTTTAATAATAAATATTAAAAACTGTTAAACTGTTGTATTTTTTTTATATTTTTGATCAAAAAAAACACTTAAGTGAAAAAAATACTCACTTTTTACTAAAATTTTACTCACTTAATTACAAATACTACTCACTATTCTCACTTTTTTTAAGAAAAAAGTGAGTAGCAACCCTGCGCCGAGGGGGAGTAATGTGGTGATTCCGACGCGTTATCACCACTTACGCTGGCGCACCCTTTTTCGAATTACCATTTTCATTTTGTATAACCATTTTTACATTGTATTCGTCATGTGATTTATTTTGTATTCGTTTTATTTATTGTCTCTGTGAATTTATTATAAAATGTTGTACCGTCTTTGGTCACGTGACGACTCGCCGCTCGACTTTTTCTCCCGCCTCGCGCGGCGACTTCGCCGTTACGCGCTCGAAGCCGCCGTCGCGCGCTACTCTCGTCACTCGCTTTTTCGCTCTCGAAGTCTCAACTCGAGCAGCCCCACGTCTCGACGACTCGCCTTTTTATACTTACCCGTTTTACCGTCATACGTCATTTTTGTATTTTAATTATTTTGTGTTTAAAATTATACACTGTCGAACGTACGTCGAAATTGTTGTTCCGTTATTAACTACCTACCTACTTTAATACCTCCTGATTTTGGTAACAAAACGTAAGTAATATCCGTTGCCGCACCCGAACCACGTTTCGGACCACAACAGTGGTAACGCACGGGTATTACCACAAATATTATGATAACTGATAATGGTGTGGAACAAGTTACGGCCATAGGTTGTGGGTCATTAATGGATAGTAGGTGTACGGGTGTTCCTATTATCAGTGATTTAAGTAAAATTATTTTATAAATAGACTAACTCTAAGTGTAACTCGGGTACCGATTTTGGAGACAATGTCGTTGGAATTATAAAAGTCGCAAAGGTTGTAAGACGAAAGCTTAGGAATTGTGATAAGGATTAGTGATATGGATTGGACATAAGGCTAGACGCTTTGGTGGGAATGTTAAAAGTTTGAGCGTCTAGCAATCCGTCACAAACGTTGTAAATGGATAGGCTGGATACGATCTCCAGGATCACCTATTTAGAGTATACCTGCACATAGAGTGGTATGTGCCGTAGCATGACCGGTGCTTTATCTTATGTAAAAAGTGTAAAGTCGAAAACCGTGTCGGAGTTTCTAGCAAGTCAGTCATCTCAAGTCAAAATCGATTAACTTTCAAGTTAGCCACCTAGGTAGGCAATCCGACTTTTGCCGCAGCAAATCAGGTAGGCAATCCACCTGCGGTGGATTGCAGACCCGACGTCAAGCGGCTATAAGTGAAAACCCTATCATACAACTTACGAAATAATTTACGAAAAATTCAAACTATATACATTATACAATATACATATAAACAAATATGATATGTATTTATTGTGTGATATAATATAACAATGAACATTTTGAGAAATGTGCAATTATAATTCCTAAAAAAAATTAATATATAGGTAGATAGTTAGATACAATATATTATACAATACTATTATATTAACCAATACAATATATATAAACATGTACCTATAGTGTATAATATATATTAATTTAAAAAAAAATGCAAAAACCAGCATGTTGAAGTGTCTAGTAAGTGAATCATCACCGTTTAAGATGAAACCAAAATTAGCAATCACCTCTATGAGTCTATCACCTAAATATAGTAGGTATATCACATAGAGTGGTATGTGCCTTCGCATGCCCGGTGCCTTTTCTTATGTAAAAAGTGTAAAGTCGAAAACCTTGTTGGAGTGTCTAGCAAGTCAGTCATCTCAAGTCAAAATCGATTAACTTTCAAGTTAGCCACCTAGGTAGGCAATCAGAGTTCGTCGGGTAGCGGACAGTGTGCTGCAGAAAATCAGGTAGGCCAGTGAAACTATCAGTAACACTATCACACAACATATGAAATAAATTTACAAAAAATACTAACTTGAAAGTATATACATTCAAACAAATATAATATGTTATAGTATGTTTTTATTGTATGATATATAACAATGAACATTTTGTGAAATGTGGAATTATAATTTCAAAAATAAAAATAACATATAGATACATAATAGGTATATTAACCAATACAATACATATAAACATGTACCTGTCCTGTAGTGTATATATTGCTATCCTGTGGTGGATTGCAGAACTGATATCTAGAGGCTAAAGCATATAACTGAAGAGAAAAAATAGTATTTTCAAAAAACCCAATCACACATCATTTGAAATAATTTACGAAAAATAAAACAAATATAATTGTATGATACAATATAACAATGACATTTTAGAGAAAATAATTTGTGTTAAATTCATAATTATTTAAATAACATATATTATATCACTGAAAAAAATAACTTGTGTATACAGCCAGAATAGTGCTGCTGTAACTAGAATATTTGGTTGCGCTCGTGACAACAAAACGTTCAGTTACCTTTACAATGTATTTTATGTAAACTGGTTTTGATAGTGGTAACAGAACCTTTTATAATTGGTAAGTAATTAAGTTTGATAAAAGTTACCAAACATTCTGGAACTATAACAACAATCGGTTGTTGATTTTAACAGATCGTTAGGTAATCCAAACACTGCTCTTTTTTAAAAGATATTCTAATTAATAGCAATTTCTGCAATAGTGTTTACAATCATAATATACTGATCAATTTAATATACATATAATTTGGTTAGAACAACCAGTATTATACTATAACCTCTACAATGTATTATGCTACAGTTACATTCTTCATTGTACTCAGACTACATATCGTTTTGTAATAATTACAATTGTATTATGCATAGGTAATGTAGTTTAATTTATTATTATTTATTGAATTATTATTATTTTATATAATATAATACAAATTATTGAATTATTAATAAAAAATTTAAATAATGAAAGAACTCATGACTATTATAATTAATATAAATTATAAGTAGGTACATAATAACTTAAGAAATAGTTCCTATGTTTTAAATAGAAATAATTAATTTTAACACATTAGCTATCAAATTATTAAATATTACTTCTTAATGTCACATATGAAGATCCATTTGACATTATACTGATATTATTGGGAATGTGGGAATATAACATATTATGATGAATGATGATAGACAAACTTTATTTTATTTTTATGTTTTACTTCATAGGAAAAAAAATGTTCATCAAAAATAACTGTACTCAGTAGACAACACTGAAACACAATCACTCTATTATTACGAAGATAAATAGCATCTATGACACCAAACTTGGGGGGACTATTCTCATTAATGTCTAGAGTAAGGATCATTTTATGTTGATACTTTGTGCCTTTAATAGAAATCCATGAACAACAAACTAAGGAATCAAATGAGTCGATTTCCAGAAAGTTTTTAATGTTTTTAACATCACTGTCACATATTAGTTTATTAGAAGTACTAGATTCTATGTCATTACTTAATGTGCCTTTAAGAAACATGTTATTCAATTGTAATTGATGTTTGATAGCTAGACTCATGCAAATATTGCGCCTACTGTTGAGTGCTGGTAGTATTGGCTACTGTTTTAAAGATTCTATGCTTCGCTTCAAATCTCATACTCCATAAATATATATTACTCTACAGTTCTGAACATTGTTTTATCAACATAACACTTTTTTTTATATCATCATTTCTCATTTTACATACTCGACATGGGTAATTTGATGAAAAACTTTCAACAAATCCACTAATACCATGTATTTCAAGATTGTCACCAACAAGAACACCTAACTCAAATTTTAAGATTCCTTTGAAAACATCAGTATTGACGTAAATACCAGTACCTCTTAAATAATTTATTTCATCAATAAGTGGTTTGAAAATTATATTATTTCCAAACTTAACCCTGTCTGATGAGTGAAATAATAAAGCTAGGAATATAGTATTCAAAGAAGACTGGCGATGATAAGGTATGCAGGGAATTGAAATGTATGCAGCTCCAAGTTTATGAATACCCGAATGACTACCTAATGGATTTCTAATTCCGTAATCATCAAAAAAAAAAAAAGGAAGTACTGTATGAGAACTATGTTCTTCTTTTTTTTTTCTTCCATACACTACCTTGCACAAAATTAATTAAAATTGAGTTTTGAATTTCGCATTTATTTATGTACTCTAAAGTATCTGTTAACACATCTTTTAATTGAAAAAAATTCTTTAAAACATGTCTTAATGGAATAAACTGTTCTGTGCAATTAATGGGAACCAAAGAATAGGAATTATTTTTTCTATTTTCATTTAATCGTTCACCTATTACATGTTCAAAAGGATGTGCCAAGTTCAGTAAAATATTTAATTCGTTTATATTCTGTGCTTAGATTCACAAATGGGCAGTCAAGTAAATCGAGAATATTGTTAAAATAATAAAATGATTCATCAGAGATTTTTTCTTCTAAAAGTAATTTGTTAGTATCACTTTTTAAATTGTGTTTTATACTATTAAATATATTTTTCATATCTTCAACAATTTTTTGAACAACATTTCGAGGAACTTGGTGATTTGCATATAAAGAGGCTACACATTTTCAGTGTTGTTTTCAGTTACACTACTATTGATATTTATACCTGATAAAGATGAAGATGTTACTAAACTATCTATTATAGAAAATTTGTCGGTATTACATTGCTCTAATGGTAAACTATTTATAATGGTATTGGTTGAATCATTTAGCTGAATTGGAGTAGAAGTTTCAATTGGTACATGAGTGGCTAAATGTTTTTTGAAGGAATTTAATAAATGGAACGACCTGTTGCAGTTATCTTCCATAAAATTATATGAAAAAAAGTTATGACTTGTGTGTTTGATTTGAAAATGTTTACATAGCATTGATATGCTGGGGAGATTTAAGTAGCAAAAAAAACAATTCGGCATAGGTAGTTTAGTGAACTTATATTTTTATATCCCAAGATGTTTTTATTTTATAGAATCCTTTTTGGATAAAAGTCCATATTGGTAAACATTCTATAGAATACTGAAGATTTAAAGCGTGTATAACCTTAAAACAACAATAAACTGCATAAACAATAGAGTTTAAAACATACCTATAGTCTGTCTCACGAGAGAACGGGACCGGCGGCCAACCAATACTCGTTCGCCGCCGCGCATCCCGCACCAACTTTTCGTTGTAAGTGTGATCACGTGGTTATCCACTCACCAATCGAATCAGTCTACATGCGCGAAACGGTCCCGTTCTTTAGTGAGACAGACTATAGTATGTTTCATCAACAAAAACAAAATATTGTGAAATTGAATTGATATCAGGTCCTACTATTATCACCAGTGGCTGCAAAGTGATCCTCAAACGAGCATACTTTTCTTTACGTCTCGTAATAGTCTCCTTAACTTCAAAATGCGACCTTAAATGAGTGATAAAACTATCCCTAACTTCAACTTTTGAAGGTCTACATGCAGATTGTCCCTTTTTCCTCTTGATTGTTATTGGGAAAAAGAGAAATGTAAGATCGAGGAAGGCTGCCAATGATAAAGTTTCTTCACTTTCTAAAAAACAAATTAAGAAGTGAATTACCAAAATGATTTTTTAATTGGTATTTAAAATTAAGATTACCAGATTTAAGATCTAGATATTCATTTAAAATACACTTTAAAGTAGAATCTTGATCAGATATTTTTTTCCACAAGTTCAGTATTTTTTCTTTATATACAGGAAAATGTTCTAAAAGATTTTCTTTTTTATCAGGATACAGAAAGTCAAAGTCTTTAATCAACTGGACAAAATTCACTATAATTTATTAAAATGTTCACATTACAAAACTCAAACTTTGTCAATCAGCTGGGAGACATTAACAAGACAAAATAAAAATAATTGTTATAATTTTATGATACTTACAAGGTTAAAACCATTTGGTTTTTTCAATGCAGGAAAGTTTTTCATGTACTGTGAATGTAGATCTTTAGAATTTGAGTTAAACACATTTTTGAAACGCTCTTTTCAGGTGATGGTCCAGTAATTTTCCACTATGTTCCACGGGTAAGTAGAATTAATCAGCCATTTAATTTCGTCATCAACATTCACCTGAAATTTGAAAATGTACATAATAATATGGTTTAAAAAATAAATGACCATTAAAATGTTAAAACTCATAAAACATTACCTGTTGTATCAGTTTCAGTTTGGTTTAATAATGAAAAATATTCAGGTATACGTCCAATAGAAGGAGCAATAATACCTGCCTTTCTATACTCTCTTTTTCAACTATTAAAACAATCAAGAAGTTTCCCTTTGGCACTTTTTTTCATCAATGGACCTACAATGAATAAAATATTGAATGATAATCATACTAATATTAAAAATATAATATAGGCTTAATATTATACATTTACCATAATTCATGTAAGGTATAAAGTATGTGCTTATATGTTCTTTGGGAAAAACTTCAGTTATTTCCTTATCGAGTGAAAGTAAACGCTGTGTTTTTATAGACTTATCAAGATCGTCTTGGAGTTCTCTTCTTACTATCAAATTGCATAATTTTCTTCGCCCACTATTGTCTAATACACTATCTTTATTGTAAGTGGCTAACAGAGCCTTTCACTCTGTGGTACTATGTAAATAATCCAACAATTCAGAGCTCCGAAAAATATATAATACATATATAATAATATATAATATATAGTTTATGTAGGTAAACTATATAATATAATATTTATAGGTAAATACTCAATGCTATTATGTAAATATAGGTACCGGCTACTTATTATATTTACTATAAAGTAGGTAGGTATAAAAAATGTCTTATCTTTGAATACATCATTGTACGATTCCAATCCCAAAGCTGACAGCATGTCTTTGACATCGGAATCGTTCATTTTTACAATTTTTACAGCAGTAAAGTTGTAGGTACAAACATTAGAAAATAAATAGGTAATAACAAAATATGGCAGTTGTGGTCGTAGTAATTACAGTTGAATAATGCCGAACGATGCCGCCGCCAGATTATAGATCGATTGCAGCAATAGCAATACAATTGTGATATCAGTGAAACTGTTGGATATGTTTTACCAAACGACCGGTTATTTTTATCCAACAATAGTACCATTTACTGAACGGTTTGGTAATATTAGAAAAACATTTAATTAATGAAAATATTGGAAATAGCACTCAATTATCAAACTCTATATTAATAAATACAGTTCATAATATAACTCCAATTCCAAGACAAGGAGGGAGTGCTAATAGAGATGCATTTGAAGTTAGAGAAAAAGTTAAAGACTTAATTTGTTCACCTTTAGGACAACTTTCGTGGGAATAAGATATTTAAAAAATCGTTGAATGCAAATCCGTTCAGTAAGGAATTAAAATAAATATTATTATTAAGGATTTTTTTTATACTTAAATTTAAATGTATTGTCATAAATATTTATCTAAAAGTTCATTGGTTTTAAGTTTTTTCATTATAAAAATACTCAAAATATATAATATGTTTAATAATAGAACTTTTAATAAATACGTGTTAACAAGAATCTTATTTTAAATAAATATTAATATTAAATGTTAGTTAACTTTAGTAGTATAAGAGTGCTACTTACGTGATTGATTCATTTCTTGTCCAATTTCCTTCCATAGTGATTCCTTAAACGAATAGTCACTATACTTTTGTGACTTAAATCATATAAACAATTCCTAGCTCTAAGTAGCTCAATTAAAATTTCATTGTTCATTTTAAGAAAATATCTGTAGACTTGACTAATAAAATACGTACTAGGTTGTTAACATACTGAATCAATATTGTGATGAATATATTTTTCTATATTCTATTTTTAGAATATGAACGTTGCTATCGCGTTCATACTAGTGATGGGCATAATCGAATGATTAGTAACCGAGACATTTTCATAATCGAGAGAATCTCTCGAAAAATCACTCGAAATTAAAATCGTTTTTTCGTATGATAAGAATAATCAACTATTATTATTTATCGATATAATCGAAAAATCACTCGAAATATGAATAAACTTATAGTAAATAATTATTAGTTAAATGTTGCTTTTTTATTTGCTGGTATAATATTAATTAAAAATTAGACTATAATTTAGGAATAATAATAAGTAATAACCATGATATAACCATGATAATGCATTATTAATAGGTGCTTAAAATAAAAGACAAGTTTTTATTTTTTTATTTAATAATTATTATCTAAATTTTAAATAAATCTGTTGGTTTAAAATACTGTAAATTCTTAATTACGAAAAAAACTCTATTATACTTTTTTTATATAGGTATTTGAAATGAAACGTTATAAATATATTACAAAATACAAATGTGTATAGCTACCAAATCCAGCAAATGTTGACAATGCATTTTAAGTTTCAAATAAAATTTATTAAATATCCTCCAAATAAAAAATAATAGTAAACTAATAAAATAACTTTATAACAGCTCGTAATAATAAGTATATTAATATAATTAATATTTAATGAACAAAACTAGACAAAATGTAAAAATGAACAAAAAAATTTAAAACAAATCCAAATTACTATTTAAAAATATAATAAAATCTAAATTTTTTGGTGATAGCCGATTTCTACGATCATTGGTGATCAGTCCTGTTTTTGAAAATACACGTTCAGACGGAACAGATGTGGCTGGAATACACAAATACTTCAGCTGCATATTATACAAATCTGGAAATGTGTTTTATACTGTTTCCAAAATTCCAATGGGTTTTTTTTACGGTCTAAAAGTGTCATTTCTAAATATTGACGTATTATCAAAGTAGAAGTTATATTTGGACTTGATGTAGTTTTGACTTGAGCGACTTTATTATCAAAATGCTCCCATAGTGATTTAATTGTATTATTAGTAGTATTTAACGTGAGTGCTGTGGTAGATTCAGTTGTATTAATTTCGTTTTCCATTTCAGTATTTGTCAAGTATCATTGTCAATTCTTCGCATATCCATTTTTGCGCATTACTAGCATTTTCAAGTAAACCAAACTCAGTTTTTTTAAATCGTGGGTCTAAGAATGTTGCTTTTGCAACAATTTTATTCTTTTCTAAAATGCCCAATCGTCTACTGACTATATCCATCAACATATTTCTAAATACATCCCCAACACCAGTTTCTGTTTTCAAGTTTCTTTAAATATGTTGAAGACCTCTAATAAGTGGTATAACCTATAACCACACTTAATGTTGGGTACTTTTCACCTGATAATTTCGCTGTCATTATTTGAAATGGCTTTAAAATATGAGTACAATCTAATATTATCTCCCACTCGGATGCATTTAAATAATTTGGTGCCCGAGGTAGAGTTGACATAGTAGCAGATAAAGGGGCTTTAATGTTTACAAGTCTTTCCATCATTATAAAACTAGAATTCCACCTTGTAGGCACATCTTGCTTAACTTTTAATGGAGGTAAGTTCATTTGCAAGTGAAAATCTTTGAGTTTTTCAGTAGCTTTGCTGATGTGCTTGAAATACCCTACTATCGTCCTACATTTTTTTAAAATTTGATTTATATCAGAGTTTCCATTTATTGCCTCATTTATACTCAAGTTTAGTGTGTGTGCCACACATGGGTGATGGCGTTTAAGAAGGTGTTCGTTTATTGCGTTTTTAATATTTGACCCATTGTCTGATACCACAGTTATTATTTTATTTGCTATATTCCACTCATTAAAAATATTTGTAAGTGTAGCGGCTATACTTTGACCAGTGTGTCTGTTAGAAACGTCTTTAGTTGCAATTACTGGTGAATATAATTGGTCGTCAAATATAAAATGGCACGTCACTGTTATATATGATTTATTGGAATCGGATGTCCACATATCTGTCGTTATTGATAAATCATTTACATTTAGAAGAATAGATTTTATTTTAAGGAGTATAACATTATATTCTTGTGGTAACAATTTCGAAGTTAATACTTTTCTACTAGGGATCGAGTAAAACTAACGAGAGTGGTTGATAATCAGCGACAATCATTTTAATTAAAGATTTATTAATAGCCTTAATTTCAGAATCACTAAGTTCATTTACTTTTGTCGAACCAAAAAGTTTTAGTTGGCGAGGCCGTTTTGATGGTGGCTCAGAAAATTGCGACGAAATTAAATGTTCAGATGATAAATTAGAAGAAATTGCTGAAGTTGAGGGACTAAATATATTTTCGGTAGTCTGTATTAATTGGTTATCTGGATCAACTTCATTATGAGTGATCGGATTGAGTTTGGTTGGGTGTATTCGATTTAAATGTTCTATTATAAATTTAAAAAGATTCAAAAATTATGAAATTAGTATTTATTATAGCCCTATATTATAAAATACATATAATAAATAATAGCCTTATTTTCAAGAAAACGCACGGGACGTGGAAAGGCATTTTCTATAAAATATGTGAAATGCGGTTATTGGAAATTTAAATTAATAAACTAAGCTGTTTCAAATAACTCCAAAGAAAAAGGGTAAACAGATAGATAATTCTGTGTACCTAATTTAAAAGTTCTGGAAACCCGTATTAAAAGATTATAATTTTTAAGTACCTAACTTTTAAGTTTGTCGTGTTTCCGTAATATTTATAATCCTTTTTACATATTTGACACGTAATAGTTTTATTATTCGTATGTTTTTTAAAATGATCCCATACAACGGAACGTTGTTTACAGCCCGGTCTCATATTTAAATAAATCAAAAAAATACTTCTGAAATTTCATACTTTTGAAACTGTCGAAAAATATACGATTGTCAACTGTTAAGGTGCCTCACTACCAAGTCTTTTTTTTTGTCAAAAACTACTGTTTCTAATTCCAACGATACGTGTCGACAATTATCATGATTTTCATTCTGAAAAGATATTCTGATTGTCCGTAATATATTTCCATTGGGTTATTAGTACAAGTTTGGACGTCAATTTGGTCCTCATGGTCATCATTTGTATTCATTTTTACGGCATGGACATGCTTACACACATTATTTTTAATTGTATAATCATAACATGTACATGAGAACAAATGTACACAGATTTTATATGCGACACAAATAACCTTACATGCACATGGTTCACATTTCTCTTAAATATTCCTCTTCTAATGATTCTGATTTCACAGTCCAAGTAATTGTTGACCTTTTATTAATATTGTAACTATGAATTTGTGCTGCAGAACGATGACGATTGTTAATGGCGTTAACATAATGTGTAACTTTTCCACCATTGCACAGCTTTACAAGTCTCTCATAATTCTTGTCTCTTACTGATTTTAGCAAATGCCAGAGTAATACATCAAGTCATTGATTTTTTTTTCCCCTTTAAATAAACATATTTCAATGTTTTATGGTATGCTTCCAAAACCATATTGGTGTTAAGCATAACTTGCTGTCTATAACATGCAGCCCATCATTTTTTTCTATAAACATAGTGACTCACCAAATATGCTTTAAAGTCATGCAAAGCGAGTTCCTCTTCTAATTTACACAGAAAAGAATTGAAAAGCATTTCAAACTGTGTTTCATTTGGTTTTTCGAGTAAAACTCTGAGAGTTTTATATATATAAGCTTTCACAGTTTGTGTTCCAGCAATCTTTTTAAGATTTTTTCGCCAATTATTATCTATATGTCACTTACATAACAAATGGAATTTGGGAATTGGATACATTGTCTTAATCCATGCATTCCAAAATGCTGGAGCATCATCGCTCATAAACACATTTGGTGCAAGGCAACCAATAGCCTCCTTTATTTTTGAAAAAAAAACGGTCATATGCCTTTCATCTATTTTGTACTTATACAAAAAGCTGCCGGATATCCTTCGCCAAATTTATCAATTACTACAATTGTGGTAAGATTGAAATTAAATTGATTAGTACCATGCGTTGAATCAATACATAATTTTCCGCTACCAAATTTTTTAAGGACTTCTTTTTGTGTTTCAGTCAATATAATTAACATAAAATCATTGATGTCTAATGGAAAATACTCAGTTCCTTGGGTTTTGTATAAAATTATGGGGTTCGTAGAGTTTTCTTGAAATATTTTAATCTGAAGATCGACACTTAAAGCATCAACGTCATAGAGCTTATATTTATGAAGTAATCCACACTTGGAAGAAATATTATAAACATCTTTTCGATTAATTATATTCTTCTTTTCAACATTATAATCAAAATCTCCACGGAGCTGGTCAATAATCACATTTGGAGGTACTCCACTTTTTACTTTGTCTGGATAAATAATATAGTTAATATGATAAATGTATTATTTACTATTTTAACATACAAATAAAAGACACTATTTACCAGCAATTGTTTCTTGGACTGTCTCAGGAATGGGAAGATATTTTACTTCGTTGTAATGCCCCTCTATGTGTCTTACAATATTTTATTTCTACATTTCCACATCCTTTAACTACTACTTGTATGTACGACGGACAGAATGTATCTAAAATTATTATTAACACAATTTTGACTAGAGGAAAACAGACATAGTGTTAACATCCAATTTAATTAAACATACATTTATTTATTAGGCCAAAACACATACATTAGTTAGTTATTAAAGGAATAGACAATAGATGGGATTTTTCATAAATATTTATAAATATAAATTTTTCATTAATATAATGAAAACAAGTGTACAAACAATAATACATTTTTAATATTTTTTAGGTACATAATAATTCCATAAACACCAACGACTTGTCTTGAAGATCAATTAACAGCAAGCAACACATAAAACAATAAAAAAATCACAGTGTCACGATTTTATACAACAGATAAACATAATTACAAATTTCAGTAATTGATTAATGTATATTACTGATTTTGACACTTGCCTATTTTACATGAACCAATAATTTTCATGGCACGTTTTCCAGTAGCCTTGCTTGAAAACATTCCAGAACGATGGTAATAGTAAACGCTTCTGGCTACAGTTTTATCTTTGTTAAATCTTGTCCCCCTTTGTTTAACAAACCGTGATGAAAAACTTACCTCTTCAATGGATTTCCATTCTTCAAACTCTATAAATAATCATGAAAAATCAAAATATTGATTTCATAAATATGTTAGATAGTGAAAAATTCAACTAGTATATTTACCCTGAAACGAAACAAAGTTCATATTAATTATATCCAGTTCAATTTCTGCATCCATCAATGGTCTTGAAGATTTAATAGTGCATCCCTCCATGTGCAATCTTATGTGCCAAACTAAATTGTACTTTTTATCAAATTGACGACTACAATACGCGCACTCAAACATATTTGAATAAATCAAAATTTCAAAAGACTAATAAAGAAAAATGTTTTGCGATTTGAAATTTTTTAACTGCTAATTGATAAGAAATACGATATGATAATTGATAAGATATTTGCTCTTGTGCTATCTCTAGACGCTCGTTTTTGATAAAAAGATTTATTATCAGTAATCTGTTTATTTATCATGTAGATCTGTAGTCATTCATCATTCAATATTTGGTGCGTTATAAAATAAATATTATATAATTCATTTAATTCTTCAAAAGCAAAGGAAATAATTACACTATTACAGTATTAAAATGGTACATTATAAATTATAATTAATAGAATACAATGTGTCAATATTATTTTACCAATACGAAAATACAATAATAATTCAATAATAATAATATTCAACAAAGAAATGTGTATGTATCAATATAGTTCTTCAGGTTTTTGTACCCACGTAAATATAAATGTCATTCATGGCTATACCTACTTTATTCATGTCTGAAATGTATTAGTTTAGTAAACTTTGTCCTCAAGGTTAATTTATCATTAGATTTTTTTGCTTCATGACAAAACCTAGTTTTGTAATATATTTCACATATTTTTTTTATTAATTGGTCTCTGTGCGTTTTAAAATTATCATTCAAATCAAAAACATTGATCAAGTTATTGATCCTTGATAAAATAATTAATCCCTCAATCCTTAATTTGTCCTAATTTACTGGCTTGAGTGTTTGTGATTAAATGCTTCTTACATGTATCACACTCTACCAATCTATACATTTTCATAACCACAAATCCTGCTATGTATATAGAATATAGATATATCTTCAATGTAGGAATTTAGTTTAATTAATCTTTGATAATAATCATGATCATTACTACAATTTTCTATTGCTATCGTCTGTTAAATAATTCCAGTAGTAGTTAGTATTTTTGTTCTATCTAATATTGCACAGTTACCATGTTCAGATCCTCTTATAGCATTATGAACGAGTAACCTTTTATATGCTGCTTGGAATCGCCGACATGTGGGATTATTATAACACCCGCCCTTACATGTTGGTTTCTGAGAATCCTTCAATACTAAAAAATATTTAATTCTTATAACTCTATTAAATATCAATAAATTATTATAAAGCAGTCTTTAAATGTACATACTTTTCAGAAAGAGACAAAGTAGATGGTGTCTGCGATAATACATGTATTTCTTCAACACTAAAAGTATATAAGAATAAATTCTTATTACTCAACCAAATTATCAATGATAAGTATTAATAGAAAAAAATATACTTTTGTGAAACAGACGCATTCAAACTAAAATCTTCAGGCGTTAATAACAACTCTTCAATATAACTGCAAGAAATATATGTTGTAAATAATAGTCAATGACATTTTATAATAGAAAATCCATGTAGAAGGTTAAAGGTTTATAGAAAAAAAACATGAATACATTACTTGTCAAATTCATCTGGCAGTATTGCAACATTATTCAATGTTTCTCTTTCTTCATGAATACAATTAATATAAAATTATAACATGATTACTTTGTTTAGGCGCATATCGTTATAAAATTACCATACTGGTAGTGCA